GTGCCTTACTAGTAGTAACAAGAAGCTAGTAGTAACAAGTGCCACGCTGCCGTCCGATCTCGGTGGATCCGCTGGACCTCCGTGCGATCGTCCGGTGTCGCCACACACCAAGGAGTGGAGCAGGAGCCTCACGGATGCGAAGCGTGACGCCTGGGAGCCTAGGCCACCCGAAGCCATGGGTGGACGGAGCGCTCCAGGTTGACAGGTTGACTGTGTATTTGTGGCATGTATTTGGCATAGGGAGACTTCGGGTGGCTCAAAGTATTTATCCTTCCTTGAGAGTTCAACTGGGAGGTTGGCCTACATGTGTGAATATTACAGTAGACACCAATTTTCGGTTGGTGGAATGGATGGGATTTCCAAATGTTTTGAGGTACATGCCTCCTGGATTACCCGATGCCTCTACGACCACTTGTATCCTACTCTGCTTCATGCAGCTTCAGTGGAGGCAACAAAGCTTTCAAATCTGCTGTCATTCGAGATTCCAGCCATATAAGAGCTTCTGCTGGTTTTGCAGAGGAGTTTCAGAAGGACAAGAGCAAGCAACTTTGGGTCCGCTGTCTACGGCAGTCAATGGTGAGAGGCTAAACTTGTGACGTTTGAACACACCGAGGTGCCCCAAGGCGGCTTCTTGCCGTTGGCCAGAATTGCTCGACAAAGCATTGACTTCCCTCCTTACTTGTTAAAGGCACGAGCCAGAGAAGGTGTCCGGTGTCCTTGTGCTGATCAAACGTTCGAAGGGACCGCAACCTTCGATGTGAGTCTGGGTGGATTTGTCCGAAGCCCCGTCCGAAGTCTCGGGAGGCACCAGCAGAGTGGAAGGAGAAAGTCCCTCATCTCTGGGCCAAGATTAAAGAGACCTTCGGAGTGGCGGATTGTAGCGAGGCGGCCGTTTCGAAGCGGACAGCGGACAACGGCAGAAGCCGCGCGTTTGGACTCCGAGGGATTGAAGTGACGCGCGCCGTGGACGTTTCGACACACGACATGTGATTGGGATGAGTGCTCCGACTAGAGTCGAGGCCTTGCAGTGTATTTCGGATGCGAAGCAGAGCAGCCATGGCCTCAAATGCGGGCAGTGGCAGATGCCAAATCTCAGAGTAAAAGACATGTCGGGTATATACAGCAATTCTTTGAGAAATAAGGAACTTACTGCTGCAAGTTTCTAAGAGTGCATGTGTTGGCTCATTGATCTGAGTCGTTTGCGTCATAGGGTCACAGGTCATGCCAATGAGATGAGTGGGCAATTTGTGAGGTCAACTTGATCCCCAATCCTTGGATATAGCTGTCCGCTTGGTGATGGCCATCACAGACTACTTACAGCAGGACAGTCTTCACGAGTCGCGAACAATTTTGTGTTCGCGGCGCGTTCACGCGCGAGCGGCGTGAGGAACGTGCTGAAACTGCTGGAGCTACGGCAGCCGCAGGCAGCAAATTGGACATTCTGATGCCCACTTCAGCTTTTGGCTAAGCTTCACCGTCGGTCTGAAGACAGGGAAAACTCAACTGGAACAAGATTTCTGTACAGCAACCAAGACTTTGGCAATGTTCATGAGCAAGGAAAGCCACCTGCGAGCTGCGCGAGATTGCGTTTTCAACAACATGACTTGGTGGAGTCCTTAAAACAGGCTTGTTAGACAGAAACAAGTCAGTAAGTCCAAAAGATGCCCAGTTGAAAGCAACCCCCAATCTTGTTGCCGGACATTTCTCAAAAAGTAGATGAGGTTGCCGGATGTCGAGACAGCAGATCTGAATCTGGGCAGCTATTGTCTTGTCCACAGACACTCTTCAATGCACAGCATAGTGTCTTCGTCGTTGGTCGAACCAAGTGCCATAGTTGAACGACTAGTTTTGTCACACGCCGTCATGCCTTCACGGCATGTTCTGTCCCATCTTCCCATCTGAGGCTTGGTGCACCCCAAAATCTCTCATGCTGTGGCGCACACATGTGGCTGTCCACTTCTCAGAGGACAGAAAAACGGAGCAGGTCGTGGTATAGTCACCCGAAGCACCCGAAGACGCGCTTGAAAACATGTGTTCAGGTCGTGGCCTGTCAATGGTGTATACCAGCGAGGCCGTCTACCGAGTCTGAACGGATCTAACCAACTGGACATTTCTTTTTTCAGAATAACATGTAGACTCTTGATTAATAACACCCGCACTTGAATTGAACAACCTCTTTACATGGGGTGTTTATTAAGCAAGCGTCGACAAACTACCCGACTTGTGACTTGTGGAGGTGTGTTGGAGGTTCGTCAGTTTGAGACAGAAATGGCAGTGGGTCAGGGATACCTTGGTCGACCACAGAAAATGAACAGCATGGACTAGTAAGGAGGTCAACCTTACCCTGGTTTGGGGCTCTGGGTTTTGACCCACAAGCCAAATGACATCAGCCCATCTTTCATCTGTTCATGACATCAGCCCCGCTGCCATTGATAGGCGACTGAAATGCATGGAGCGGACTGGTGTGAGGCCGCTGGGCAAAGTGAGTGAAATCCTCAGTGTGACTGTGACCGTGTGGAAGCCAAGTCGAAAGTCCTACATTTTGGTTTGGGGGGTCCTATGTGGTCTGCTAGTGTACTCCCGTGCTTAGTCAAGGTTGAAATTCTGTATATACAGTTGTCTATGCACCGTCGAGGAGCTGCAGAAACATTTGTTTGGGTCGCAGCTCAGATGTCACAACTGGTGAACTCACCAAGGCCTATCACTACTCGCCTCAAGAACTTGCTGAAGGAGAGAGGATTCTGTTCCAACTTGTTTTCAGGATTCAAGGAAACGCAAAAGACATGAAAAGACTCTGACATGTCTTTCAACTTGTCCAGACTTGCCAGGGAGAGATTTTTGGAGAAATCTTGAGAAACTTGTCTTGCAGATCTGCCAGGACTATCCTGCAGATATCAGTATGTTCAAGGAGTTGGTGCAAAACGCCGATGACGCTGGAGCGACTGAGGCGGGAGATCAGGTGTTCTGGGGCTAAAAAGGGCCCCTTTGGGATTTCAGGTGCACTTTGTTTGGGACTGGCGGCAACATCGGAAGTCCCAGCCTTAAGTGATTCTCTTTGGACATGGATTTCGTCCAACTCATGTTTGGAAGGCTCAGGCTTTCGCAAGCTTTCCAGCTTAGCGAAGATGTTTTGGTTTCATCCTGTTTCTCGGTCACGAGGCAATCGTTGCTCACTCCTGACATGGATCGGTGGTCGCTCAGATCGATTCAGCGAAACGGCGCTAAACCGGGTCGCTCCGCGAGCCACGGCGGGAGTCGACGCGAGACCGAGCGACCGAACGAGGCAGGGACCAGCGTTGTGGATCTTCAACAACGCGCAGTTTTCCAGCAAGGATTTTGACAGCATCTGCCGACTTGGTGTTGGTGGGAAGCGTGACCAGCAAAGGCCTGGGATGTTTCTTTGTTCGCTTTTTTGGTCGGTCGCAGCGGTTGGCGCATCACTTCCGTCGTTTGGTCGGTCGATCACTTGGATGTCTTTACTCCGCTGCATTTCGGGGAGTCAGCGATTCCACTTAGACCGATCCTTCCTTGGCTTCCATTCACATACCGATCGGTCCCGATTGCAGGAAAATTGGTCGCTTTGGACTTGGCTTTAACTCAGCCGCTTCGTCCAACTGGCAATTCTGTTGCTTGCTTTGACCCTTGTGCTGGGTCTTTCTTTGATTCTCTGAGTCCAAACTGTGACTCATGTTGAGAGGTGTACAACTTCACAGACTTGCCCAGTATTCTGAGTGGTGATATGGCCACTTGACCAAGTTCAGAGGATTTACAAATTTGCTCAAACCCAAGCAGCGAAGTACTTCCGGGAAGCACGAATCACTTCCACGAAGCCACTCTCAGCAAAGGTGCTGTTCTTGGATCCTCATGTGCATCATCTCTCTGCCATGGGAGCTTCGGCAGAAACTCTCAGCGACAACTCTTGCCACAGCCGTTCAGCAGTTCTGCCTGCAGAGTGAGAGAAGATAGAGACGCTGGTCAAACAGCTGAAGAGAATGCCTCCAACTGCGGGGGGCAGTATTTCAAGCGATTTCAACCCCTTGAGGTCCAAAAACCGGGCATCAAACTGCGCTTCTTGAAAATTCGGGTCGCACACTCAGATGGGAACCGGTGGGCCACCGTGGCCGCGTGGCACCGTGGCCGCCAGACCGTGACCGTGACCGCCGATGGAGTCTCCGCTCCTCAGGTCTTGGAGAAGTTCCGTGATCAGTCGCGCACTGAGTTCGACAGCAACTGCAGTCGCACTGAGAGACTGAGTTCGACTGGGACTCGTGTCATTAACTTCTTGAGTCTGACAGGTTTGAACCCTACCATGGAATGATGGGCTGCAATCTCTCCTCCTCAGAGCCCTTTGACGGGACGCACCTTGGCCGCCACGCCTCTCGCATCCGCGATCGCGTCGTGACGCGAATCGGAGGTTGATCCGTGTGCCCTTCAGAAGCGCCGAAGTGGCAAAAGCAAGTGAGGCTGGGTGTCGGTTCTGGGTGGCGGTGGGGTGTCCTGGGGGTCATTTTCGATAATTTTTTCGATTGAGGTCAGCAGCATTCAGCTCGGAGGGGATGCAGCTGCAATGTTGGTAGCTTGGAATTCACGTCGACATATATGCCTGGAAGCTGTGGAAAGCGACCATTTCATTTCAAAACGCGTTTGTTGCTGTGCACACATTGCATTGTTGCTGCCCAGCCTCAGGCTTTCTTCGCATTTCCAAAAGGAGGCATTCCAGTGGTTGCTTTTCCTTCAACACGTTGCGAAGTAGAGATCTTAGAAGAGCACGAAGCGTCAGAATGAAACGAGGCGACTCTGTCAGTCTGTGTGATCCCAGGATTAGCTTGTCAGAGATTCGAGAAGGATCCAGCGATATGCACCCCCTTTGCGAGGCGCACTCCCCAGACATTTGTTTGTTTGTGCAGAATTCAGAACAACACGCATTCGACCAAACGTGCTGCTAGCATCGCATCATGCCCTGGACATGTGCGTGATCATCACAGGCTTTTCTTCCCCAAACAGTTTACTGTTGGGGTTCTCTCTAGCGTTGTCCTCTTCTTGTCCTTCTGGTGTGCAGCTGGCGCCCTCCTGTTGTCCTCTTTTTCTCTCTTCGCCCCGTCGTCCTCCTCTTGTCCTCTTCTTGTCCTCCAGTTGTCCTCCTCTTGTATTCCTCTTGACCTTCTTTTGTCCTCTTCTTGTCCTCCTGCTCTCCTCTTGTTGACACCAGCTTGGCCGCTGCGAGCCGGTCTCCAGACCTTGTCCTCCTGTTGTCCTCTTCTTGTCCTTCGTCTTTTCCTATTCTTGCAAGCGCGAAGACCGCAGCCTGTCAGCATGTAAACATGACAACGTGCGAGCGTGCACTACAAGGCAGTGAGGCACTAGCAAGACAACTCCAGAAAGCAACCCCAGAAGCCGACGTCCTCTCCTTGTCCTCCTGTTGTCCTCTTGTTGCGGGGTTCTCTTGTAGGAATAAAGAAGCAGGCCGAGGCCGCGCTGGCGAGCCCTGTCTCTCCTCTTGTCCTCGTGTTCTTCTATTGCCTTCTTGTTGTTCTTCAGGTGTTCATTGGCCGCAGCTGCCAGCCTATCTCTGGTCGTACTCCTCCGTCGTCGTCTTGTCTTTCTCTTGTCCTCTCCTCTTCTTCTCTTGTTCTCCTCCTGGTGCGCTTCCCTCATGTTGCCCTGTTGTCCTTTTGGCGTTGTCACAGCTTGTCCTTCTTTTCTCCTCGTGTGTTCGTGTTGTTTTCCTTCCCCCAGTCTTTGTCCTTTGTTGACCTCCTCATGTCCTGCTGCTGTCGTGCTGTTTACATTGCTTTCCGAGGCAGGGGCTGGGGCTGGCCGCCCACCACCATAACAATAACTCTTGCCGACGAAATTGTTTGGGGTCTATGCTGGCATAATTGATTGCTCTGTTTGCGGTCATGCAGGATGGATAATGCATGTGGGGAGAACACTGACTTTGGAACCTGTCACTGAGGTCAGGCTGACACCTTCCGTGCCAACGGCTCCAAGTGGTCCTTCAGACAATGCCGAAGAGATGAAAGACAAGCGAACTCCCAAACATTTGTCTGCCATCGGCTCGGATCACGACCGGTCCTTAGCTTTCCCGTGCTGCCGACAACCATGCGCACGCTCGCCAAGAAAGCCTCATATTCTTTTTCGATCGTCTCAGTCTCAGGTGGTGGCGGATGTGTCCATCCACTCCGAGACCTTCTCACCAGGACATGGTCGGACCTTCAGCTACAGGCCACACCGGCGGGGCGACTGCCAACGACTCGACTCGTCACCCCCACCTCTCCGGACAGCTTAGCTGCGGGCAGTCTCCGGACCGTGTGTCAGGCTCGTGGGGGGCGCTTCAGATGGTGGGGTCTTTGAACAAGTCTGCGCAGCCATTCCCCTGGCCGGGTGGCTCAGAACTGTTTTTTTTTGTTTATTTTTTTCCGCAGATCAGTGATGTTGGATGACCAGCGTGAAAATATGATCCATACACCCTAGACCTGCTTTCTGTCCTTGCAAACTGTTGCTTGACCGACGGTCCAGCTATTGGTCGGTTCATTGAACCACCGAGTGAATGTGAATCGTAACATCAATCTATCATCGTCTATCTATATAATTCATGTGTACATTCTATGGAGCCTATCTGGAGCGTATGACCATCCTATATCCTTTGACTTTTCTACTTGTCTATTTTGCAATATTTTTCAGCATTGCTTTGTCCGTGCCCATGTCTTTCTCGCGTCTGCTGTATCCAAGTGGGCACAACAGCCTTTATATAGCTGTTATTTACCCATTTGCTCAGACAGGTTTTTACATTTGCTACTGCCCTTCCAGTCAGCCCTGCATTCAGTTCTTGACCTAGGGATTTCAACCTGGATAATTTTTCCTAGCCCTCTTGCCTCATTGAAATCCATCGGACAAAACCACTAAGCGGACCAAGACTTTGCTGCCCCCTGCAATGTGACTCAAACTTCACAGGATGTCAAAGAAGATCGAGCACAGTTGCGAAGAGAAGAGGCTGGGCAGAACCCAAGATGCTACGTCACGTCCCACTTAGATACTGATGGTGTCATGCTGTGTCACTGTGGCCTCCAGGGGCGCTTGTTTTGCTTCTTACCTCTTCCGTCCACAGCCATCTCCCTTCGACTTGCCGTGCACATGCATGCGTGAGAGCCCGAGTCGTTGACGTTCCGACCGAGCACCGGACAGGCCCGTTCGGGCGTTCGGGCACCGAGGCCCTTGAACACGACCCAAGACCGGCGGAATGTTCTTTTGGACCACCGAGTGGGTGACAATGAAATCATCAACAAGAATGCCCGGGAGCCTGGGATGGACATGGACAGACATGAGTCGAAGCGGGAAGCGTGAACTCGGAAGTGTTCGGCAGGTCCGTGTTTTTTTTTGCGCGCAACAGATTGACAGGTTCGACTTTTGGACGAAAGAATACCAGAGTACGAAGCTCAAGCTGTCTCACTTTGTCCTGGAGAGTGTGATTCTGCTGCACTGTTGCTTTTTCGTCGTGAGGTGTCTAGCTCGATGTGCAGCAAACATCTCCAAGAATGCGCCACAGGAACGGATGTGACTTAAACACCTTTTAGTACGCTACAGGAAACTGCGTCAACGCGGGAGCTGATCGGCGTCGACCATTCGTGTGGTGCGACGGAATCGGGGTCAGGACTTCTTTAGTGTCTTCCCAACGTTGCACAGAACTACCGGAGGCAAGTCAGGCCTGATGGCGACAGCGAGTTTGGGCTGTTCAAAGCATGAGACCTCCTCGGCAGCCAGGAGACCAGAAGAGACTTCCGGAAATTGGTGTGGCTGACCGAGTGGTCCCATCCTTGGTCTTGCTTCCATGCTGTAACCAGTGGAGCTGTTCCGCATTCCCATGTGACATGGGGAGGCGCAGGCGTTCTACAGCTTATTGGTTCGCCGACCTGAAGCTATCTTCCCCACACTTGTGCGAGACTGAGCTTGGACGCGTGTAGACAGTCCGTGTCTCGTCCCCCTGTGGTTGGGGGGAAAAAAAGGAGACACTCGGTCCATCCGATCTGTACGCATCCGAAAAGGCCGTCAAGGCCTCGTCGCCTCGTCGCAGCTTCTCGTGGATCCAAGGCTCCGGAGGCCGTGAAGAAGTACGTGACCTTCGGCGAAGCGGTCTTCTGCTCCGATCGAGAGGCACCGTAACGTCGGTCGCCGGTCACGTCGGCGTCGCGGTGAGAAGTCGGGTGGGGTCGTTGGGGGTCCTTTGTTGGTGCGTTCCGTGGCGCGTTCAGGGGGGTGGCATAGGAAGGACAAACAAGATCGGTGGGTCATGGTGGGTGCATTTTCTCACGTCTGAGGCAAAGGTGTCGACGGGAGGGCCTCCTGATCAAGCATCAGCCTTGCTGGAAAGGGTCTCCAGGTGTCAGAAGCTTAGACGTATTGATGCGCGTGATTAAGAAATATATAAATGCTGTAGGGTTAATATTAATAGAAAATAATAAGAATAACCATTGATTTTTAAGAAGACAACCTTTATATTAATGCTGATAGGATTTAATTAATAAACATCAATAATTAATATGAACGATAATATATAATTCTTTAATGCTGTAGGAGCTATAATCGTTGAATTTGAGGTTTAATGGAAAGAATAAATGAAATATAGAGATTAATTCTATTTTATAAGAAATCTATATCTTATTATGCCAGTGATTTTTACAATAAAGAAAATGAGATTAAAAATCCTGGCATATATGAATAAAATGAAGAGGAAATAGAATAAAAAAGAGGAGGAAGTGACCGGCCCTTGAATTTTACTTAGGGATACATTTCTTATTTCCTTATCATTGAATCATAGAATGGCAAGGGCCGGATAATCTGGGCGACCCATGCGCTGCCCTTCTTTTTGGGTGATTCGGTGCCTTAGACACCGCAGTTGGGTTGACTTCGCCGGGATGTCTTATTTTGGTGTGCAAGTGCAAACGTGCAGTTTGCATTCAGGTCTGTCTCGTTTCGGAGTCTCAGTGGTGAAGATGCCGCTGCCGGTCTTGGAATCCTTCGAGCAAGTTCTTCATCCGGCCCTGCCGCGTGTGTGCGGCTCTGAGCCGATCTTGACACCACTCGGGTCGTTGGGGACTATTCTCGTTGGCGACGGGGTTCCCCAATATCTCTCTGGTTTCATGATGTTTCATCGACTTCTTCATGTTTCTCGCTCCGTCCCATAGAACAGATGAACAAATGCAATCGAAACCCACCGAGGCTGACTCCCGCATGGCTGCGCCAGTTCCTCCGCAACATGAGTGCCTCTTCCGTTCCGGGGAAGTGCCGGGTGCCTCAAACTAACAACTCAACGACTCATCGGCGTCAGTAGTACTGGCAACCGAGAACGGTGAACCGGCCGCTCAGACCGTGGATTCCGCTTTCAAGAAGCTGTGGATGGAGAGCAGGCGAGTTCACAGCTAGGGAAGACATGGCATTGTCACGGCTTGTTCCGTCATTGTTCGGTACACATCGGTCGCTTCGTCGGAGCGACCGATGTTGGCTGACAGGATTGCCAAGCCAAAGAGCATGACCAGCTTCCTCGCCTGACAGCGGACGAGGCCCCGAGATGACTCCTTTTCGGACACGACGTTTCCTCAAAGAATGAGCCCCTCTGGGAATCAAACAATGAGCCTTCTGTAACCAGATATCTTCTACATCATTGCCTTGCAAAAGAACTGCTTTGCTTTTTCGCAGGCAGTTGCGCTGATGGATTTTGCCATGGCTGACAACAATTTGGTTGATCTCCAGGGCGTTCCTCTTCTCTTCACGGAGGCCCATGACCGCGCGTTCCCGCCTCAACGCTTGCGGTCACCGCGATGGCGCTCATGCTATTTCATCGAGATCCGGGGATTTGCGGCCGAACGCAGGATCTCAAAATGGGAACTCTGCCATTCTCAGCCAAAATGTCCACCCTCTTCGTGCCTGAGGCCTCGCTTTTTAGACATGACTCGAGAAATCTTCTGGACAAACTGAGAACAGACATTGAAAGTAGAAAAACATGACTATACTGTAGGAGGACGAAGAGTACCAGCTGCTTCCACAGGCCAGAGATGTGAGGTAGCAAGTTGGCGCGGATGTTTTTTTCATCTTTCTGCGTCAACCGCATATCTTGCACCACTTTAATGGCGAGTGGATTGGAGAATGGTCGTGCTGCGAATCGAACCACACTCCTGCCCCTTGGGCAGGCTCCTCGAAGACTTCTCTCCAAGAAGATCCGAGCTTCACGGCCTTGGGTCCTGAGCTGAGGACGTCCCGTGTGTGGAAAACCAAGATGTTGGGTGTGGCAGATGCCGGGCGGTGTAGAAAACTGAGATGGCCACCTGATGTGGAGGCTTTGATTCTTTTCTTTGTTCTGGAAGACTTGGGAGGGGAGACTCTCAGGTTTGGCAAAGCTTGCAGCGAATGGCCTCCAGTGAAGCCGAGCCAAGTGGAGAAAAACAAGGAGCAACGCGCCAACGGGCGACATACATCGTGACATCTCCAGATTCTCTCTCGAGGAGACGAATCGTGCTTTCAGTGTGGAGCTTAGCAAATTCGCAATGGCCTCCAACCTAGAAGTGATGGCCTCCACTCTACTAGCGATGACCATTGAGTGCTGCGTTTGAGCTTAGCCTGTGTGATTCCTCTGCCGTGTCTGAGACTTCGAAAGATGACGGTGAATCCTTTGATGTCGGCGTTGCAGGACTCGACCACCGCGCAGTTGTTTCGGACGCGCTGGGATGTGATGCGGATCAGTACAATGCAACGGATCAGTTGGGGGGGTACGGTTTGTACATGTTTGCACCAATTCCGATCCCTAACGTGCACAGATCACTTCAAGTAGGGGGATCCCCCTTAAAACGCGTCAGAGGACGCTAAAAACCGAAGGTCCCAGCGTATCCCACTGTTTTTCAGCTTTTCGACACCAGGTCCCACCAAGCTGCAGCAAGGAGTATGGCGGAGTATTGACAACATAGAGCAGAGTTAGAGCTGTGTAGAGCCCACCATTTGGGGAAGAGGCCAAGGGCGGCCTTACGGTCGTTGTCCGTCTGTTTGTGCAGCCAACGAAGCGAGCGCACTAACGGGCGAGACGACCTCGAGACGTGCGACGAAGGCAGGCCACTCAACAGGAGTTGCAGCAAGGACTAAAACTGTTGGCCAAGTTCTGAAGGCTAAGCCGGGTGTGAGAAACACCCGTACCCATTTTTCGGTCGGTCGATTTGAGTAGCAGCCAAGCATTGAAGGATGCTTCAGCAGTTGTGCCGATACCTAGTGGCACCTCTAGCTGTTGCACATGTATTTATATGTGCTTGGAATGTTGTTCGAAGCAGGAGCTATTGCCCAAGTCGTGGAATGTCAAGATTCCTGAAGTTTCCAATGACGATTGGGCATGGGTGGAAACATGGTTGCGAACTTTGCCAGGGGCTCAGCTTCATCGCAAACAACATCAAACAACTGTTGGTTGCCAAACCAGTGGTCCCAGTTTGTCCCCTTCAGTTCAACCAAGCGTTTCCTTTGCTCTGAAGGTGGAATTGGCTCAGCCGAATGAGCGTGCACTGCTCAGTTGACTGGTGCACGTTCATTTCTGCGACTTCGTTAGCTGGCGAAGGTCCCCACCAAGCAAATGTTGCATTGGCCAATAGTGCCAAGTGTGCGAGAGAATCTTGGCAAGAATTGAATGGGCTGAGTGTCAAAAGTGCGGTCTTGTTCGTACTCTGAGAATTGACATCTGAATGGGTAGGACCACATCCCTCGTGAGCCGCTACTGGTATCCGCTATAGACGCTCTTAGGCCAGATGAGACCCAAGTCCATGAGGCGGAGCATTTCGCGCGCCGAGCATTTCGCACGCGGTGAGATATTCCGTTTGAATGCTGTGGCCAGGGAAAGAATTCCGCGGGTGAAGCTGGCGAAGTGGCCGAAGCTCCACCGATTCGAACGGTCCGGCTTTACAGGCTTGGTGTGTGTCGTTTTTTTCTGCCTCAGCTTGGGGTGGCTGTGGGGCAGGAAATAGGGGTCTTAGAAATAGGGGTCTTACCCTAACCGGTTGAACGATCGCAACTGGTGGGCTGCAGACTCTTATGACCCGAGCGACCCCTTCTGAACCGGACAACTCGCAACTGGTGGGTACTGGGGGAGTTGGAACTATCAACTACGACTAATTCCGTGAGTTACTAGATAGTGTGATGCTGTGCACGAATGTGTCATTCCAAGACCTATTCAATTTGCTATGGGAACTGGATGCCAGGCTTCTACCAAACAGCACTCTCTTCAATGCACGTCCGACCCAATCAGCAGAGAGCACGCACTGGCCCCAAGACATATGTCATCATGTCATATGTCTCTTTCAATCTCTTTCAGTGCAATTGAAAGCAGCATTTCTATGTTCCACATTTGATATGGTCCTGGAAACGCAAAGGTCGAGTGGCCTTCTAGATGGACACTTGGGAAAGGATTTGGTGGAGCGCTGAGATCGATTGAGATTGTCGTCGAGTCATCGTCCCCCAAAATCCGTCCGATCGAGGTTGAGCTCATGGAGAAGATTCACTGTACCCCTGTTTCGAACTCAGAAAGATGTGAGTTTCGATGCGTTTTGCATACAAGTAGAGGGCAGCATAATCACATGTGTTGCTGGTTGCTTAGTCTTTTTCAAGACGAAGACAACGGCAGAGTCGACACATGCGCGACACACTTTGCAACTTGACAACTTCCTGGCGCTTTTGCTGAGGTGTGGCTTCCAGACTGGTTGAGAAACCGGGAGAGTCAGCTGGCAGGCTTTGTGCATCCTGGAACTGCAGATGGCCTCATGAAGGCAACTCTGGAGGATTTTCCACGACCATCGCCATCTTGATTGACACTTATAAAAGTATAGCAAGCGTTTGATGTTGTGTTCTGCGTGAATCCAAAGCTGAAGGCATGTCACAACCTTCTGCATCAACTTCCCAAGAAGGGAGATCAAGACACGAAAGAGGCCAGAGACACAGGGAAGGAATATGGTCACAATAAAGCAGAGATTGGCAGATCATGTTAATTAACCAACTAGTCATAATTAGTTTTCTATTTTTTGAAACGGGAATACATTCCCTTTGACTTAAGTGGTCAGTCTAAGACAGCAACTGCCAGGGAGATCACTCCCCAGCCTCGAAGCTCCGCAAGAAGTGGTGTAGTGCTTGGACTTGACGCACATACAATGCTTGATGAGTGGCGCCTACAGGTGTCCAAACTCCAAGCAGCAAAGTGCATTGGCAGCATGGCTGGTCATGGCTGGGCCTGAGCATTGTGTCGGGAGCCGAGGGAACATTAAGAAGGTTTGTAATTAAAACATGTCAATACGAGTCAATACCATGTATATATATAATATGTAATGGTACGTATTCAGTATGTATGTAGTCTACTTGCTTGCTTATGATTGGGAGATGAAGGCGCCCATAAACTCAGTCGCACCAAGAAGCCCACTGTAAGCAGCATGCTTGAACTAAGGATTGCCCACGTGTGGCTCCCGTTCACCTCCAAGATGCCTATGTTTGAATCAGCTCAGTAGATCTTTTGTTGCTGTACCAAGGTGGGAAGTGATGTGGGATGGAGGCGGACTCCTCACAGACCTGACTTCTCCATAGACTCCATAGTGCATCAATTATGTGTTCACTCCTCACTGAAACTTACCTTTTTTGGTGGGGACACTTGTAATGTTTGCTTATATGTAGTATTATATACACATGCCGGCAGGTTGAACTGTGAGATCTTTCGAGCAGCACCTTTGTTCTCGCCTTTTTCTCGAAAGGACATGTGCGATCAGCTCATGTGGCTGTGGGTCCAAACCTGGAGTCCTAAAACCCAGCCGTTGACCATGTTTGGTCCATTCTGTTCACTTTTCGCTGGTCAAGCGGTCGGGTCCTTCCGTTGAAAGACCCACAACCGCCCAGGCACCAACACCAGGACTTCCGACCGTGTTCCTTCAGTCCACCAGCACCGACGCAGGAACTGGTGGCGCTGGTGGACTCCCAAAGTGGCCACGGTGGACAGGATGGGTCCAGACATTGGTCTCTCCTTCCCGAGGCGAAGTGTAGGGTGCGGAAGAGGAGACGGAGAACAGGGAGAGAAGAAGAGAAAAAGAGATCCCCGGATCCAGCCACTGGTCCTGGGAATAGAGAGGATCAGCTTCCCGAAGTCCATCTTCACCTTTTGTACTGGATCAGTCTTTTCTTTTTTGATCTTCTTTCATTGAATTTTATGCGGCTACGATTGGCCAAAGAATTGAGACCAGAGAATTGGAAGAGGGCAAGAACAGAACTATTTGAGATGGCTTTGTGTGGCCAAGGAGCCCTCTGCAAAACATTAACGGATCCTCCTTAAAGACTTAAAGACCATAACCCTGGCATCACACAATGGCCGTTTTCGGCTCCCACCCTGGCGTTTTATTGTGTGCTCTAACATTTCGTGCCTCCGAATTTGAAAGCACAATGTGTTCCACTGTAGCAGTTGAGGTTGCTCTGTAGGATTTCCTTTTTTGGGGAACAGGCGTGCCCTGAAGTCGCCGCAGCACTGCGTGCATCTGACATTCCAATGCCAGTGGCCCAGGAATCTAGGAAAAGAGAACCAACGGAAAGACGTTGAGGCAAAAGTGTTTTCACCCAAAGAACCAACGCTGCCTGGAATCCAGGTTCTCTCCCAAGAACCAAGAGACCTGACTTTGCTTGGCAGTCGCAGGTTTTGAGACCAGACCTGACCGATGATGCTAAGCTTATCAAAACGCCGCATGATGCGAAGCCTTTCTGATCTGTGAGGCCAGGCTGTGTGGAACCTGCTGATGCTGAGAACGTGGCTGCTTTGGTGCGGGAGCTACACATGCCAAGGCTCACCTGGGCCGAGGCCTGCTCTTTATGCTGGGATTTTTTTTCGACTTCAGAGTTGAAAGCAAACTGGACTGGCTGTTTGATGATTTTTCTGGCCCAGGTGCTGTTAGAACATGTTTTCCCCTGGGCCGGCGCCCTGGATCACGCATCATGAAGCTGCTTTTTGTGTTCTTTCGACAGCCTATCCTTCGCCACTGAAGACAGCAAAGGCATCCACGAATACAGTGCAGCCTGCTGCGCGGCAGGGATTGATGCTGGCGGTGGTGTGCAGCCAAGATGATCCTGTCAAGTCTTCAGTTGGCTGTTGAACCCCAGGATCTACAGTATTTGACGACATGTTCTATTTTCTGCACAGAATTTGCTGCGCAGATTCTCTCTCATCAGCAGTCCTTTTAGGTCCAAAGGTGGCGCGAGATGGAGCTGGCTGGACATGAGCAATGTGTGGAGGTTCAGCCATTCTCTTGACAGACGGGATCATTGGGAGGATAACAACAAATGCACCACCAAAGCCAAGCGTATACGCAGCTGCAACTTCATGTGCTTGAAGAGCGTGTAAGAAGATGGCGATACGAAGGACATCAAAGGACTGTTTGATAGATACAACCGTTTTGGAGGACCTCTCCTACAAACTGAGGCAGACATGGTGGGTCAGAAGTGCTAGTGAGAACCCAGCCCCTGCCGGGTTTTCACCGTTTTCACCTTCTTTTGTCATTTCAAATCTCTTCAGCATTCTTCAGATCTTCACATGGCATGGAGTTTAGATGAGTTTAGTCTATTTATTCCTTTGTTTTGGCGGCAGCTCTTCGGCTCTTCGCCAGGCTCTCCAGCAGGTGTCCTTCATTCCCAGCGTTGGGAGCCGAAGTGCCCGTCGGTGCTTATCCGAACGTGGCGCCCGTCGTGGGCGAACTCAGGTCGATGGGCCAATGCGAAGCCCGTCCACCTTGCTGGATCCACGGAAGGAGGAGCGAGAAGATGGGGGTTTGCAGATGGATGATACATCAGGATCCATCAGGATCCATCCGAATCTGCAGCTTTTTTGGGGGGTTTTAGTGGATGAATGTGCTGTGAGTCATGAGTCGTGACCACCATCTCCGATCTTTTTCCGCAGGAGCTGAAGCTCCTCTACATGGGTGAAGGGTCATGCGCTGAGTGTGCCAACATTGGATTGTGGTCTGGCCATTCCCAGCGGCTCAGGCCATTCCCAGCGACTGAAGTGAACGCCGTCTTTGGGCCTAGTATTCCCAGACATGAGAGACGAGAGACCGAAGGAAGGGAGGCTCCTTCCTCGGGAGGCCCCATGAGAACGACTCCCGGGATCTGGTCGGTGATACTACACGACTAATGGGACTGGTATATTGACCGATCCTACATTGGGGTGGTGCCAGGGGGGTCAATGGGGCGGCAGTCCTATGGCAGTCCCATGGAGTGTCTGGGAAAAGCACAGCTCCTGAGACCGGAATCGCGCTTGTTCACCCACGGCGATTCCGGAGAGACCGGGTCGGTGTGAAACAGCGATTCTGAGCCCTCGGTGGCGCCATCGCTTCTCCCCAAGACCGATGAACACCGGAAATTGGATGTGGCGATGCTAAGCAGTCAGTACGGAGAATCTCAGCGTTGCTCTTCACTTCGGACCTACCTGTGGGGGCTTTCATGGAGGAGTGAGTTCAAAGTAGCATGGTGAGACCTCAAAGACCCCACAGTAAAGGGAAATCATCGACTAAAAGCTATGGTTTGTGGGGGTCTCCCTATTAAGATGCACAACTCCACATGATCCGTAAGCAACATCAGCTTGTTGCTTCTGAAGAAGATTTGGCTCAGCGGTGCCAGGTTCTCCTTCCACTTCTGCAGAGAGGTCTACTGAGGTTCCGAGAAGAGCTCTCGTTGAAGGACGGGGTTTTGCTCTCGGTGGAGTCCGTATACGGTGGACAGCTTCGTTCGCCAGACCACGACACGACTGGTCGTCGTGTTGAAACAACGGTGAAGTCATCGAAGTCATCATCACTGGAGCATCCTTCCCATGACTTGACACAGATCGAATATGATCGAATATGATCGGATTTTTTTGAATGAAGTGCCTCCATTCATTGAGGAGTCTTTGGAAGATACACCCCCAAAAAGATACCCCAAGATATATACATCTCCCAACTCTTCTTTTCCACGCCTTTTGCCGTCTTTTTCAGACCCCGACCGCGTTCTCCCTCGGTGACCGCGATGCGGCTGGACCGAGGAGCTCCATGAAAGGCTCACGTTTCTCGACCGTGGCGGACCTGGAGGGATCCGTTGGGCGGTCGGACGCAGTCCACGGGTGTTCACTGTTTCAGCCGTTGTCCGGGCAGTGCGGTGGCGGCCTAGGCAAGCACGAGTTGGAAGAGACGAGTTCCGCGGAATGGGACAAGGAGCGGGATGTCATTCATTGATTTACCTGGAAGGAACTAGTTTGGCAATGCTTGGCCATGTTAACTAAACAGCTTAGCAGCAAAGCTCCAACTCATGAACATAGTTTTACTTCCGCTTGACCAACATGAGGTCAGAGCCTGTGCGGACAGCTTCTTGCAGTACGTTGCCACCAATGTCAGCATCAAGTGCCAAGAGGCCAGTCATATACCAGCACAGCATAGAAGTGGATTGTGAGAGTAACGAGGTAGTGCACTACTTGAGGCGAATGGCTCTTGACCTCCAGACCGTAGACATCTGTAGACTTTTTAGACCTAATGAAGTGCCCTTGCATTCTGTTGCGAAGTTGGCCTTGCCTGGCACCGCCTTCGTCGTCCTCCGAAACGAGTCCGGCCGTCCCAGGTTGCGAGGTCGGCAGCAGCAGCCGTTCCCGTGGCGGGAGACCCTCTTCCGCCGGCCGCTACAGCAGTCGAGCGCAAATACCAGAGCTTCTTCGCATGGCCGTTGGCCATGCCCGACTTCTTGAGCACTTCGAGTGCCAAGAGCGGCCCAGCGATGCCTGACTCCTTGGCGAAGAAGGAAGAGTGGTCCGAGGACGACGTGGAGCAGCTCAAGTGCCAACTGCGCCGATGCCGTTGGATGCCTGCTGCCAAAGCGCCTCGAGAATGGCTGGAAGCGATTTGTTGGGCAGGCAGTGCTCACAGACTCTGGAGGCCATCAGACCTGGTTCTCATGTCTGAGTTCTGGGTCAGTGGAGCAGCAAATCCGCTTCTGGATCCTGAGACACAAGTGGTTTTCTCAAGTGAAAAGAAGGAACGATTGCTTTCAGACTTTCTGAAGTTGGTGGGGATTTCCAAGGATTATCCGGAAAGTGAGAGAGTGAAGCGTGCATGGGCCCAACTGGAAGCTATTCGCTCTTGGCTCGAGGTGAACCCGAGAAATGAGCGCAAAGACAGCGAAGCGGAGTCAGCTTGGATTTCCAACTGCCTTTACCAGCACGTGTACCCATTGATTGCAAGTGAATTCCAAGTGGAGAGCGATCCTGACCCTGAACGCCAGTACCTGAAGGATATTTTTGTCGCCGGAGCTTTTGTGCCACTGGAGGACTTGTCAGTGTCTCAGGATTTTCATCTGGCACGGTTGTACCAGATTCCCAAGGAATTGCAATCGACTGCGTCCAGACTTTGCAGCCAAGTTCGGCCTTCTTTCCATGCCAAAGACCTGGCCAGAGGCCTGCATCGCCTCTCAGGTTCTCCTCAGCTGACCCACGTGGAGACCGACACCGCAGTGCATCTTGCCATGGCGCTCAGCGAGCGGGTGCGCACGGATGGAGAGCCGTTGCCGGAGCGGGTCATGCTGCCAACGAGCCAAGGGAAGCTGCGCCTGGCACATGAATGTGTCTTCAACAACATGCCATGGTTATCAGAAGAAGAGCAGCAGAAGAGAAGTCGAGCCGTGACGCAAAGGGGCCTTCATTGGGTTCACCCAAGCATCTCAAACGACGTGGCAGGGACATTGAAGGTCCAAGCATTGAGTACTCAAGTTGCTGCTGAAGCTTTAGCTGCTGCAGATGATGGAGAGAAGGATCCTGAGTGGTTTGAGGCAGCTGGACAGACCGAGCCCCTCACCACCCGACTGCGTTCGTTGCTTCGGGACATTTCCTCGGACTCGGAGGACCTCGGTTTATTCAAATCGCTGCTCCAAAATGCAGATGATGCACAGGCCAAGGAAGTGCATTTTGTTTGGGATTGGCGCAGCTTTGGAAAGCAATCTCTGATGTCACCCGAGATGGCGCGATGGCAAGGACCATGCCTTTGGGCTCACAACAATGCCTCCTTTTCACCACAAGACTTCGAAAACATCACGCAGCTTGGTGCGGTGAAGACAAAGAATAAGGCACAGATTGGGCGATTTGGATTGGGTTTCAATTCGGTGTACAGCGTGACCGATCTGCCGAGCATTTTGAGTGATGATGTGGTGCTATTTCTGGATCCGCATGTGCAGCACCTGAGGGCAATGGGTGCTTCTCCAGCAAAGCCAGGTATCAAGCTGAGATTCCTGAAGATCGATGTTCTTGACAAGTTTCGGGATCAGTTTGAGCCCTATCATGGTATGTTTGGTTGCGATTTGGCATCCTCTACACCATATCAGGGGACACTGATCCGCTTGCCATTTCGAACGGCCGAGTCTGCAGCAGCCAGTGAGATCAGCAAAACGGTCCTTGCACCCAAAGCAGCCATGGCTTTTCTTCGTGCCTTCCGGAACGCCGCTGCAGAGTGCTTGATGTTTCTGCAGCATGTACAGCGGATTGAGTTCATTTGGATCCCTCCGGATGGCAATGCGAAGCCCACCATCATGGAACTCAAGATCGTGCCACCAGGAATCCCGGTTTCGCTGCCATGCGGCGCCGCGGAACAGGCATCCCAAGCAACAGTGACGGAAGTTTCCACTGCTGAGCAGGCATTGGAGTATCGTCGCTTGTTTTCCTCCAGGACAGTTGCACAAAGCAAGGAAAAGCAAAGCTTCATCTCCGAGATGCTCAGTCGTCTGGGCATGTCAAAACCAGATTCATCAGGGAACGTGACTACAGTGGCTAGCCACATCTCTTTCAATTTGGTGATTTCCATCTCCTGGTCGCCTTCTACGGAGCTGCAGAAGGAGTTTCACACGAAACCCGGTGACCGCAAGGAGGCCTGGCGCTTGATTCTTCAACATGACAATCTAGAGGATGAGCGATGGAAGATGAGCGGAGCCGACGAAGGCTTTGATTATGTGCCCTTTGCAGGCTTAGCTTTGTGTCTCTCTCGGCAGCTTCGAGCGAAAGAGCCACGGATTTGTTGCTTTTTGCCACTGCCAGTGAATGCCAACTGCTCCTTGCCCTTTCTCATCAACGGCAACTTCTGTCTCAGTGACCCAACGGCTCCAGGCCGCTTGGACTTGGCGCGAGGGTCTTCCGATGGAGCCTCAACTTGGAATACCCTGCTGCTGCGAAATATGATCGAGCCATTGATCTGCGCCTTGATCCAGGATCAGGCGAAGAAACTTCAAGTTGGTTCTACAACATTCCGGTCAGACGTTGCTGCTTGGACCGAGGATGTGTGCTCCTTAATGCCTCAAAAGTCCCAGTTGCCCTCGAGCTTGAAAGAGCTCTTGAATCTTCCATCGATTTACAAGACACTGGGCGGATCAAAGCTTTTCCCACTGGCCTTCAAGACTGGTGCGCAGCCGCTGGCAGACTTCCTGGGGTCCAAAGAGCCATTGCTGTCCTATGTGGATTCCGTCCAACCGCTCGAAGACACCGTCGCCACACCTGAGGAGAGACAGGCCGTTCACGAATATCTCAGCTCAGAGGTGAACGCCTTCCGCTTTTGCCATGTGACTCCTGAAGTTGCACAGGAGTTTTCCTTTGCCGGCCTTCAGCGGAAGGCGAAGGTCGAGCAATCTTTGCTCTTGCATTGCCTTCAAAAGGATTTGCAGTGCAAGTACACTTGTTCTACTGCTTCAAAGCTTCTCAGCTTTCTCCTTGCAGATGACTCATCAAGTGTGGCTACAAGTTTGCAAGGGCTTAAATTGGCTCCTTTATGTGATGGCAAAGTCGCCTCCTTTGGCAAAGAAGGATCAGATCCAGTGCTATGTTGCGCCTTTGCATTCACTCATGCTGCTCGAAGTTCCTTTGCACAACGAGTCCTGCAAGCTCTGGCGCCAAAAGAAACCTTGGACTTGTCGGGCATCGATCAAGCAAGCCTCAACAACCTACGCCAGCATGCCAATCAGCTTGGAATTCGACAGGTCGAGACCTGTGAGCAGCTTGCCAGCGCCTTGCTCTCTGGCTTTCCAAACCTTCGTGCCCCACCGAAGAGCCGCACTCTAGCCGGAGCATCAGTGCTGGAGTCCTTGGATGAGACACTTGGAGGCGAGACTAGCAATGGCCGATGTAGGTGAAAGCTGAAACTGATGACCGCAAAGGGGCCGAATGGGGTGAATCTCAAAAAGCAAAACGGTGGTCACATGTCACAGGGGTCGCATCAAGTCACAATTTAGATCGCTGCGCGCGGTCGGCAACATTTGCAGCACACGCCAAGAGGTGCAGCATTTTGGAAGTTGTCAGGACGCCTCCTTGCTGGAAGCAGCCGGCAAGCAACTGCTGCGTTGCCGCCTCTGGTGTCGTCGTCTTCTTTTTCTTCTCCTTCTTCTTTTGCTTCTTCTGCTTTTGCTTCTCTTTTCAGCTGAAAACCGGCTCCAGAGACCTTGCAAGGTCCCTCTTTGGATTTGGCAATGACGCCAGTGCAAATGCCACCTTGTGTGCCCTGTGGTCATTTGTGGAATTGGTCGGAGCCACAGCATGCCACAGTCCAGCTGGAAAGCCACTTTGTAACCCCGAGTTTGTGAGGCCGAGGATGGTTTCTCGGATCAGTTTCTATCCGACTTTGACCGCTTTTATGTGGTGCCTGCCTGGGATCCAAACCACAGACCTTTCACAGAGCTCGGGCCTCAGAACCTTTTCTTGAAGCTATTTTGAGACCCTCGTGACTGCGGGTCAGGGTGCCCTGGTACTGTGACCACCCTCAAATTATCCCAAACTGACAACTCCCCATTCAATCCTTATGACATTGTCAACCCTGGTTGTACCAACTGTACAACCGAAAATCGTTTGTCTCGGGCCAGTGGCCCCAGTGGCCCCAGATCGTTCGCCGTTTTCTTCGTTTCGGACCGTCGAACTCGAGGCCTGGCTCAGCCACGGCCGTGGAGATGCCTTTGGTGCTGGTGCCGCTGAGTGCGTCGGAGCCTCTCCTGCTGCCGGCCGATGCCTCAAGTCAGTGCGAGGTTTTTTGAAGTCAGTGCCGGTCGACTGCATCGGAAGTAGGGACGATTTGTGTGGATGTACCACACAAAAAATCTTAACAAAGACATTTGGGTGGTCTCTCAATCTCTTTTGGGCGAAGATGGAGCCCTTTTTCATGGCTTTGTTTGATGGTCCCAGGACTAATTCCCGAATGGGAACGTTTTCATAGATGGTGTCCCAGGAATGCGATGAATCCTTGAAACCCTTGATGGAGATTGCTGCAGCTCTGGTTCCGGACCGCTTTGCTCGACACCCAGAGCGACCGATTGTGCCTTGAGAGTGGGCCTTCAGAGTTGCCCTGGCCATGACCCATACGTCAGTTTTTCAGTCAAGAAAACGACCCATCCGAAGGTAGTTACTAGTAGCTTCTTGTTACTACTAGTAAGGCACCTGTTACTACTAGCGTGGCACCTGTTACTAGTAGCTTCTTGTTAGGTTGTAGTCTGATTTTTCTCGAATCTTTTGTCGCTTTCAGGTTGACAAAGGCCACCCAGCAATGCCAGCTGCCCAACGTGGAGCGAAGCTTTGCACATGAGTACAGACCACCGCAGACCTGATGTGATTGTGGCAAGAATGTCAGATATGAGCTTGAGAGGTCAGATCCTGTCTTGCAATTTCTGAAGCAGACGGGGGTTCTTCACCACTTCAGTCGAGGCCCCTGACTTCAGTCGTCCTGACGGACTCGCGACGCTCGACGTTCGGATGCGCCGGAAGCTCTGTCAAGCTCTGTGAGCTTCACATGCGCCGCATTGGCGCCGCGCGGAGGCAGCTTTCTGCGAGTCCTTGGATCATCAGAGGGCTCCTTGGGGAGATGCCAGCGATTGAACCCACAGCAGCGCGTGCTACTCCGTGAGAAGCTGAGTCCTCTTCTCCCGTCCTTTTGGATCATTTCTGCGAATGTGCCAAGTTCTGGTCGTGCCCAGTGAAACGCTCGAACCCAGAAATGAAAGCGTTTCTGGTTCGAAACCTCCACAGCTTTCTGAACATCCCATCCTAACCTCATGTTTGCTTTTTGTTACTACTAGTAAGGCACTTGTTACTAGTAGCGTGGCACTTGTTACTAGTAGCTTCTTGTTACTAGTAGCGTGGCACTTGTTACTAGTAGCGTGGCACTTGTTACTAGTAGCTTCTTGTTACTACTAGTGAGGCACTTGTTACTAGTAGCGTGGGATAAGGCTCTCAGCTCTGTCAAGCTCTTTGCGATCCCATCGACGATGGACAGTCACAGGCCATGGCTCGAGCATCTGTGGTCACTGCCTGAGTGACTGAGTCACTACCTCTCGATAATCTCGACGATCTCGGGGCCGTTTCTGTGTGTTGTCTTGCTTCTAAAAACGGCACATTTGACATGATCGGTCATGATCGTGCGCTTAGATCTCAGAGATTCAAGTTGCTTAGATCTGCCGTCTCTGAGGTCTGCAAGCTTCCCATCTTCCTTGCAGAGTCGGCGACGGATGAGAGCAATGCCCAAGCTGCCTGTCATAGTTTTGGAACCTTCCTCCATCTTCCTCCCTTCCATGTGAAGTCCCTTTGCGTGGGCTGGAGTACATCGACCCTCCCAAGAGGGTCAGAACATCTTTGAACACTGGCGTCCTCTTCATCGACGGGGAGCCATCGAAGAAAAAACACGAGCCATCAACCCAAGTTCTACGAGTTCAAAGTGGTAACGTGATAAAAAAAAAACAACAACAGGAACTAAAACCCCATAGTTACGAGTTGCGATTTCATCACGTTACCACTAGTTTTCATCTACGAGTTCAACCCAAGTTCTACATGGCTGTGGGTCAAAACCCCAGGGTCGGTTGACCTCAGTCGATTCTGTTCCGAACCTCTCTTATCCACCTCTGTGGTCGGCCGGTACGTGCTTGAACAACCCACAGCCAGTGGTCGACGTGCAAACTCGATGTCTACGAAATGATCGATATGTCCGCAGTGGTTTTGATATACAGATATATACAGTATGTTTTCAAGTGTTTTCATGTTTTCATCAGTTTTCATCCATCCCAGGCGTTCCGACCGCTGCTACAACTGGCGGTGGTCGATGGTGAACCGCTGACGTTAACTTCGCCCCCCGTGAGGCCGCGACGCTGTGCGTTGGTGCGACGTGCGTTGGCGCGACGCGCGTCGATTGGTGCCGATTCAAAGCTGTTTTGGGCGCAACAGGCTGGACCTGGACACCGTTTTCGTGTTCCTGGCCTCTGCGAAGACTCATCGAGAAGTTGCAGAAGCCCTCAAGCTCCCAGAGGTGGGCGACGTATGGTTAAGTTATGTTAAGTGATGTATCAAACAGATCGCATCAATAGAGGCATGAAACAGAATGAACACGATTTTTGTTTTTCCACAGTGTCACGCTCCACATGACTCACATGACTGTGATATGATATATAACATGCAAATCGTTTTCGTTCTTACGCGCAATTGGACAGGATTCTCTGGCGCGCTCCCCCATCGGCTGGGGTCGGCGGATATATATATATATGTAATAATCAGTTATATTATGCTATGCTATGCTATGTCATGCTATATTGTATTATATTATACTATATTACAGTATATTATATTCCGTATATTCCAGGTGAAAGAGATCATGACTGAAGAGGGCAAGTACTTCGATGTAAAGACCTGGCTACAAAAGCAGGTTGTGCCTCACTTGGAAAGCATGATCCCAGAAGACCAGGCGCCGCCGGCCTTCCTCCGCGCGAACGGGTGGCGGAACAAGACCGGGTGGGTCGGGTCGAACGCGGAACCCTACGCAGGTCATAGTCTTGGAGCGGCTTCTACCGCTGATACAAGAAATTCCAGAGGCCAACAACGAGCAAAAGCCTCAGACTGGCCGATTCGCGGATGCCACGACGCAACCGAACAAAATTCGGGTAATTCTCAGCAGGTATAGTGAGACTCTGCACACTCGGTCGTTTGGAGAGATGCATGGCCAAACCAACCAAAGCGGGACTTGATTGTTAAAGATAACTCACTTGGGACAGTTCTACCAAGTCCATTCTTGCACTACTATACATGCATATTGCATATTATGATGCAAAGGTCCCAGACGAATTTGAGGGTTGCACGAAACTTGGATTGTCTACGGCCGCCTACCAGGCCTTACCTGATACCAGCGGAAGCACGCAGTAAAATGATGAAGCCCCCGTGCGAAGCTAAAGCCAACCTGCAGATTCAAATCGGCGAACGTGGGCCATTGAAGTGTCAGCTGAGGTTGCTCATTCTGGACCCACAAGATTTCACTATCCAAGAAATCTTTGGGATACGTGGAGAAGACTGGCCGGCGTTGGATCTCCGACACCGCTATCAGTTTCCATCCAAGGCTCTTCCAGCTTCAGTGCCACACTTAAGGGAAACCAGTTGGTGTTCATAGAGTCATAGAGTATGCGTCACTGTCAAAAAACTGGTCTTTCCGCGCATCGTGCATTTGTTTTTCAAAACCCCAAAGAAGGTTTTTTTTCTTGCTCAGACTCAAGCAGCTCTTGCCACACCTGCGCGATGAGGTGCTGTCGCATCTTCGACGACTTGGAATGCGGCGGAGCATTGGTGATGGAGCTTGTTTGGCCTTCCTTTGCCAGGCGTTCTTCGTTTGGTGATGTTCAAAAGGACACACATGAAAGCGGCACATTGTTTGGCGGCCGTCGTTTCTATGGCCCCCGAGAAGCGCAGTACGTGTTCTTGGAATCATAATGAATCATGATATATATCACGAAAGCCAGCCGATAGGCTGGAGTCTAGGGGAGCGAACGAAGTGAGTAAAGGGGGTGTGGGGGGGGGGTCGCCACAGGGGCACGTTTCGGAGAGCTAACCCAGAGCCTGGTGGGGGAGAGCGAAAAAGGAAGTGGCCAGCAGGTAGTGAAAATGAGAGGTTTTTGGAGTGTTGTGATGCAAGTGATGTAATCAACGGTGAGTAGTGCATCATTAGCATCATGAGGGGCTCAGGAGGCAATGCAAACCATTTTCTACCAGGCGTGGGAGTTCATGTCGACGACAGGAAAGCGGAGACAACGGGATGCGAAAAGTGGTTGGAGCTGCTCCAGAAAAGGAGATGCGCGTCTCTGGTGGCTGTTGAACTAGTGAGTTGAAGCTAAATGTTCCAAGTGAGTTGAAGCCACCAACCAGCCCATTTTTGACCTCGAGCCATGCCGAGTTCGACCCACCATGGACCAACACAACCGGACTACAGGGGTGCCCTTTTTCACCTCCACAACGCCCCTACATCAAGACGAACAAGGGCACCCCTCCCAAACCTACATAGTGTTCCCCACTGGAACTGGATCAGGAACTGGAACTGGAAGTCCCCTCCCCCCCCAAAAAAGAATGTGATAGCAATTGCAATGCAGTTCGAGAAGTGGAACTGGATCCGGATCTAGCACTGGAACTGGATCTGGAACTGGAACTGGATCTGAAAGTGCAACCCCCTCCCCAAAGATGGGTCACTGGATATGGAACTGGATCTTGAACTGGAACCCCCCCTCCGCAAGATAGATGCTGTGACCACCAGATCTGGAACTGGAACTGGAACTCCCCCTTCGCAAAGATGGGTGACCACTGTGATCACTGGATCTGGAATTGGAACTGGATCTGGAACTGGAACCCCCCCCTCCCCAGTGACCGTTGGATCTGGAACTGGAACTGGATCTGGAACTGGAACAGTTCGGGGCACACTCTGCAAACCTATGTATTCTACTTTCTATTTCCACTCTTTCCCCAGGGGCTGCAATATCAACATCACCACTTCCGGCTACTCTTTGTCCACTGTACCTATATACACATCTTGCGTACGAGTAGCGTGTGCTAAAGTGGATTTTCGAAAACCGGTTGAACGCGGTGCCATTTTGGATCAAGACCTGGACTCTGGACTCCCTTGCTCTTCTGGAAGGCCTACCAGGAGACCTTTGGATTCCCCTTCCTCGCCTCCCTGCGGTTGAGTGTCCACTAGAGAAAACGGTGCAGTCACGTCGCTCACGACTGAAATCCGTTTCCTAGTGGATGCAAGAGGAGCTTGGTCCCATCGGAGAAAAAGCAAGCCGCAGCTTGCTTTATGGAGCGTTTAAGAGCGTTTAAGATTAGAATATCCAGATATGTATCCTCACGAAATCCTGCCGATAGCCTGGCCCATGGGCCCCCCACAACCATCTTTGCTCACTGATTTGCAACACGCAGCAGGCAAGCGCCCCTCATTTCGTTAGGGGTGTTTTCTTTACCCCTAAAACGCCTCTGAAGCAGGACGAAACGGGGCACCCCCCAAACCTATGTATTCTACTTTCTGTTTCTACCCCGATGTTAGCCAATCGCTTCATCTTGCACGTCAAGTGGCTGCAGCTCTTTGTCCACTCTACCCATATACATATGTGTATCCTCACGAAAGCCTGCCGAAAAAGGCCCCCCCCCAAACCAATATATTCTACTTTCTGTTTCTACCCCCTATCGGGGTGGCTGCAATGTCAACTTCACCCCATAAAAGTATTCTTTGCCCGATGTTAGCCAATCACTTCATCTTGCACGCCAAGTCTCCGAGTCCATCTACAGGACATGAATAACAAACAGCGGGCAGACGCCAGGCTTGCCCTCAGGGCACCCCCCTAACCCTGAGGCTGGCTTTCGCCCCCTCCCTTCTCAGGACATATATATATATATATTTATAAATTCAACATGGGAAAGCATCTCCAGGGCTATGATAGACCTACAAGAAGTCACGAAAACTAGCGTCAGCTAGCTGGAGTTACTCTTGCTTTAGCAAGTCACTGGCTGGGGGATGGAATGACCTACCCAGTGAATAATTCATGTCTAGACCCCCCCCCGGCGGGTTCAACTCCCTTCCCCCACATCTGATCAAGAAATCGGAGAGGACAATCCACTAGGTCATTTGGCAACCAGAGACTCACCAACCCCCGGCTTCAAGTATGTGCTCGGGCATTTGTCCTGGGGCGTTTGGAGAACATGTTCTAGATCCATTGAATGCACATGTTCTGAGCCTGAAAAGACCAGGCGTTGAAAGATCAGCATAGCCAGCTGCCCCGTCATAGCCTCGGAAAGACTGGCAGAACCAGCGAGAACATCACTGAACATCACCAAGGCAAGCGATATGGGGAATTACAACGAGGCCTGATGCAACGCATTGTGGAATCCTGGCACACCATTCCTGAGGGTTTGCTCCCAAGAGACTCCTGACACAAGCACAGTTTCGTTAGTTCAAAGTCTAATTTGTTTTGTGTTTCTTAAGCAACTCACCTGAGGTACGTTGAGGGAGTTGGTCTTGCAACAAGCATTTGTGGATGCAAGTGACGCCGACGAGATGCCTGGCCGGCCTTTTTTGGAGCGCAGGTGTGAGAGACAGAGAGAGAGAGTGGCTCCAGGCGCACCCATAGGGAGCTGCATATCGACAATGACTGAACCTTGCTGACGCAAAGTGTTAAGTTATAAGTGTCACTGTATTTGGCTTTTTGGCAGCATCTGTGGGACACATAGCTGCAGCCAACCCACGATGAAACGGAGGTTCCGGTTTCACGTGCAAACATAAGCCCATTGCCTGGGTGTGTGCTTCTGTGTGTCTGTGTGTGTAACCCTGGCAGTCATAGGGAGTCTGTTGACTATTGAACAGTTTTTTCCAACAGTGCGGGGCAGTGACAGAGTTTGTGGAAGCACTGCCTTTCGTTGGACTTCCACACCCTGCTGGGTGAAGAATTGGGAGACGTCCTGAGGAGACGTCCTGCTGTGACTACCTTCAACGGAACCACTTGGTCCCTGCTTGTTATTAGATGAAGACGAACTGTCCATTGCAGCAGTTTTGCCGTAAAGAGCGTTCTGCGTTCTGCAGATACTTGTTTTGCTTATATAGGCAGCTTTCCCTCTACGCATTTGGCGGCCTTCGCACGAACTCTTATCGTGTGTGTCTGTGTGCGTATGCACGTGCACGTGTGCGTGCGTGTGTGTGTGTGTGTGTGTCAACCCCTGGGCCAAGGGTTCACCACCACCACCTTTTCCACCGCAGTTTTACACGCAGGGGGCCCATGGGCGCATGGATGGCATGGGCCAACGAAGACCCATCCATGTTGCCGTGAAAACGTACCTGCGCCGTGACACTACTCCACTCTTCCTTGCTGTGTTTTGATGCCATGGTTGTTGATCACGATACTCTCCCCTCAAACAGGTTTCCCACAGCTGCTTTCAGCCGACCGCGCGAGAGTTTGCCACTGCAGTCACGCACAAACAACTTGTTCAACCTTCAAGTGAACTGACTTTCTCGCCATGCCGTTCCCTCACCATTTTCGACCTGGGAACTGAGTGTAACTGAATACAATTGTCAGAGTGTGTTTCGCTCAGCCGTCCCACTCGGGTGCTGAGCCCCGTCACTGGGGCGCTGTTTCATTGGGAAAGCATTAACCGAACTCACCACCGCTCACTGGAACTCCACTGGAACTCACCTCCACTTCCACCGAATTAACTGCCACAACGGCCGCCGGGCCTAAACACGGGAAGTGCCATTTTGCAGAGATTGCATTTTTCCGCATGATCTTGCAGATGTACTCAAGCAATCTGACCTGAGTTTCCAACAGTTTAATTCGATTTGCATGAACACACTACACCTTTCCACCTTCAAGCGCTGAAGCTGCTGCCACCGAGCTAGTGAAGCTCTACGTCCAAAAAGGACACAACCAAATTGCTTGCAGCCGATTTTTGAAAAGAAAAATTTCCGATCACGGCGATCTGTGTGTGTCAACCCCTGGGCCAAGGGTTCACCACCACCACCTTTTCCACCACAGTTTTACACGCAGGGGGCCCATGGGCACATGGATGGCATGGGCCAACGAAGACCCATCCATGTTGCCGTGAAAACGTACCTGCGCCGTGACACTACTCCACTCTTCCTTGCTGTGTTTTGATGCCATGGTTGTTGATCACGATACTCTCCCCTCAAACAGGTTTCCCACAGCTGCTTTCAGCCGACCGCGCGAGAGTTTGCCACTGCAGTCACGCACAAACAACTTGTTCAACCTTCAAGTGAACTGACTTTCTCGCCATGCCGTTCCCTCACCATTTTCGACCTGGGAACTGAGTGTAACTGAATACAATTGTCAGAGTGTGTGTGAGTGTGTTGACTCTGAAGACCTGCAGTCAGTGCCTACTCTGAAGACCTGCCTATTTCATCAATTCCGAAAGACCATTCAAATTTTCAAGCAAAGCAACGAAAAACCGATGGAGATTCAGATGCACAGTACTTGATTGAACCAGGTTCTGAGATTGTTTGGAGCTGGACACATGCTGAAGTAGAAAGATTTGCCAGCCATGGCCACGGATCAGCTTGAGGTTGTTGGCCAGACATTAGACATTCAGATCTCTGGCTTGGATGGACACAATGTGGTTTTGAACGTTTCGGATGAGATTTATGGTCACGAGTTTCTGAGGATTTTGCGCGGGAGAGTCCCTCGGAGACCAGGAGGCATTCTTTCAGTCTTAGTAGAAGACAAACAGCTGTCCATGATAGCAACGCTAAAGGAACAGGGGATTCAGAGTTCCTCAGCCTTATTCTACGTCTTCATGCCGGGCAATGCCTTGCGAGCCTGGAAAATTCTGCGTGGACTAGCGGGAGAAGAGGACCATGATCACCAGAGCCTTCATGGAATGACGACTTTGTGCTTTGGTCGGAACGCTGAAGTGAATCGATTTCAGCTCCCCTCAAGCCTGGAAGGCTTGACCTTTGGGGATTTTTTTCAGCAAAGCTTACGAGGTCTCCGCATGCCCTTGGGTTTGCAGGATTTAACTCTAGGAGATCGTTTCGATGAGAGGTTGGACTTTCACTTGCCCCAAACTCTCAAGACACTCACCCTGGGTCAGAGATTCAATCAGAGCTTGGAGAACGTCGTCTTTCCAGAGTCGCTTTTGCAAGTGACCTTGGGCCGAGCCTTCAATCAGCCTTTGGAGGCAGTGAAACTTCCATGTGCACTCCAGACCCTTGTGTTGGGACATGACTTTAACCAAGCATTGCAGCATGTACTTCTTCCAGAGGGCCTCCAGTACTTGAGCTTTGGAGACCGCTTCAATCAGACTCTGGACGGAGTGCGATTTCCAGGCCAACTGCGCAGCCTGAAATTTGGTGCTTGCTTTGACCAGAGTCTGGAAGGGGTGACATGGCCAGAGGGTCTTGAGGTACTGGAACTGGGGGTGAATTTTAACCAAAGCATGGATTCAGTGAGTCTGCCCGGCAATCTCCAGGCGTTGATCTTTGGTTACTGCTTCAAGCACAGCTTAGAGCGAGTGCACCTGCCCAGCAGCCTCGGCAAGCTAACGTTGGGGAACTTTGCTGACCGTTTGGAATCAATACATCTTCCAAGAGATCTGGTGGTTTTAACCACTGGACATGAATTCAATCAGAACTTGGATTCTGCGACGCTTCCTCCAAACCTGTTGGATTTGACCTTTGGAGCGCGCTTTAACCAATCGTTACGGCGACTCGAGCTTCCCAGCACTTTAGAAAGCTTAAGCTTTGGCAGATACTACAATCGTAGCTTGGATGATGTGATCCTTCCAGAGAACCTGCGGAATTTGACCTTTCACGACAACTTCAATCAAAGCTTGGAACGTGTTCATCTGCCAGCACACCTTGAAAGCCTGACGTTTGGTGCGTCTTTCAACCAACCCTTGGAGCGCGTGCAGCTCCCGAGCCAGCTCAAAGTGCTGCGCTTTGGCGCTGCTTTCGACCGAGCTTTACAACATGTCTTGTTGCCTCCGAAGCTAAAGCATCTCATTTTCGGCAGCTGCTTTAATGGTTTTCTTCAAGGGGTTGCTTGGCCAAGGAATCTGCAAGTCTTGACGTTTGGATCGCGTTTCAACCAGAGTCTACACGATGTGGAGCTTCCCGAACACCTCAGCACATTGACACTGGGCGAGGAATTTCAGCAGTGCTTAACGGTGAAGCTTCCATCTCAGCTCCAAGCATTGCACCTTGGAGCCAAATGGAATCAAGGTCTGCTGAGTTTGCCCCCAGTTCTCAAGCACTTGAGCTTTGGATCTCACTTTAACTGCAGCTTGCAGTTCTTGGCCTTCCCTCAGAGCTTGGAGTCTCTGGTCTTTGGAGCCAATTTTGATCAGAGCTTGGAGAATGTACAGCTCCAAAACCTGCGATCTTTAACGTTTGGACGCTGTTTCAATCAGAGTCTGGAGCACGTTGTTATGCCCAACCTTGAAGTTCTGATACTTGGCGAAGGTTTCAGACACAGTTTGGAGCATGTGAACCTTCCTTGCCTTCTACGGCTTCAACACGGTCTGATTGAAGTGAATTTCATGTAAATCTCTGGACAACCGCTGACTTTTCACCCCTCTCCGGTCTGCTGGTTGGAGAGTCGCTCCCATCTGGGCAGCTGAAGCCGATGAACTGGCAATCTCACTGAACAATGAGAGAAATGGTGAGAAAACACATTAAACGTGTGGCATTTCCTGTCCAATTTCTGACGGTCATTTTCGGTTTTCCGGGCACAACTTGCCAGGTGTGAGAGCCTCTTCGGCTTGAAGCCTTTCAGTGCCTCCAACGAACTCTTCAAGCTCTCAGATTTGGTGTTTGGCGCTTGTGAACCGGACGGTTCAACGGTCCGGTCCGGTTGGCAATCATGGCAGACGCTGCGGCGCGAGACTAGCGTGTCAGGTCAAGATCACATCATTTGGACGGCCCAGAGCGTTGGCAATTGTATGCAGATTTGTGGCTTTCTTTTCAATAGTTTGACATGTGCAACAGCCAAGAGCTTGAGTCTTACACATCATGAAACATCATGAAACGATGGTTGTCCTGGCCAGGACCCCTATCTTTGCTGGACCAGTCTCCCTCTTACCCCCAGAGGATTTCCAGACTTCGAAGAATACAGATGTCCTACTCTCAAGGAGTCCCGAAGTCCGCTCGTCCGAGTCCTGCGGCATGCGCGTGTCACGTGGTGTGTTTCACCGACGTGTGAAGCGGTGAAACACCAGGATGTTGTGGCTCATGCGCAAGCGCTTGGAAGCCTTGATGCAGCTTCCATCCCCCTACAACATTGGCAAGACTTCAAAGAGAAGGCCAGTGAAACTGGTCGGGTCGGTTGTTTTGGTTTCGTGGAGTCTGTGGATCTTTTGGGGTTTGGTGGAGTGAGTCTTTTCCGTGCCGTCCAGGTAGTCAGACCGATGTGCGAGTGGCTCTTCCATCATGAAGTCTTTCAGAGCTCTGATGGACAGCTGCCTCCAGGTGGTGTCGCAGTCTCAGAGCGAGAGCAAGGACCCGAACATCTCTGCAACCCTCAGTGGGTTGGGCATTTCTTTTAAGTCTTTTTTGGTTGGTGACCCTCCCACGAAACACTCTTCACATCTCTGAAACCCTCTTCAGACTATGGAACACTCTCCGATTTTGGAACCCAACAACGGTTTGGTGGGGGCCCCATTCTTCTTTTCCCGCTGTTGTGCAGCGCCCGGATGCCCTTTCCAGGTTTGAACACCGGGTCACCTGGTCGTCACCGGTCGTGGGGAGCTCCGAAGAACGGTGTCCCACCGAGGTCCAAGTCTGCTCTCGACTCCGGAAGACCAAATTCATTGCAGTTCCATTGGATGCTGGAAGCACTGGTCCGTGCAGGCCTGTCCTTTTTTGGCAGCGCCACAACGTCGCACGGCACACGCACGTTCTTGTTGTTCTCTTAGTCGCGGGCTTGCGACTCGCTTGTTTCTGCGGCAGGCTCGAATGTCGATGTCGTATATTTTCAGATGCCGCAAGTGAAAGAGTCACTCAGGGTGGCCTGATTGTAATAGTCGACCGCCGGCCAAGTGCATTTTGTCGCCGCATTGGTCCTCGCAAGGCACACCTTGGTGGCACCCTGGCGGATTTCCCTGGTGCTGAAAGAGCATCGACCCCCCATGTCCGCACCTCAGGACCCACGGACCCACGGACCACCGGTCACGCGCCTTGACCGCGCGTCAGCGTGTCGAATTGGGCGCTGTGCAGGTTCGCCCTGCCGGACTACTTGATGGACCAGGCTGGGCGCACGAGGTTTTCGCCAAGCTGAGGAAGCCTGTGTTTGTGTGGTTGGAAGAGCAAGTGTGTGGCGCACAAGCGGGTTTGGGTTGGAGGATGTTGGACATCTAAATCGACCAGAATGATCACCACCTATGTCCAAATTGTGGAACTTGTCCAAATTGTCCCTACCTATGTGACGTTACGTTGACTCGGGGGGCGGCGTAAGTAAGTGCTGTCTCTGGCCGTCTACGTATGTCTAAGGGTGCCCTCAATCAAGTCCGGTCGTGTCAAGAAACGGGTGGCTTGGTTTTGAATGTGCAATGTTTAGGATTGGAATTGCTATTTTGGATGTCCTAAGTATCTCTGTTGCTTACTGTGAGCCCCCCTTGCATGTTGAAGACTTCTGCTCATCCTAACAAAACGCCACAGTCAGTGAGTGCCCGGAGCATTTTGAGCGCAGCAAGCAGCTATAAGCAGCCACCCAGCAAGGGACCTAGGATGCTTTACATGAGGATGGCAACCAGTGTGTTGTCTGCTGTTGTCCTACTTGGACTTAGCAATGTTGCGGAAGCAGTCACATGTGGCGACTTGAAGACCTTCTACAAGGGCCAGCAGTGCTGTGGATCATCCAGCAAAGAGTTAACTGCCACCGTGCCCGGCTGCCCTTACAACTTCAACCCACCAGCTTGCAGCATGGCGGAGCCCCAGACGCCTCGAGATTTGAGCACCGGAGCACAAG